GCAGGAGAATTGCTTGAACCCAGGAGGTGGAAGTTGCGGTGAGCCAAGATCATGCCATTGCACTCCAGCCTGGGTAACAAGAGTGAAATTCCATCTTAAAAAAAAGAAATTCTTAAAGATATATGTTTTCCACTTGACCTATGGGGGTTTGTTTGTCCTAATTGGCTCAGCTGATTCTTGTCTTTATGTTGTAAGGAAGGACTATAAGGAATAAAAGCATCCATATGGTCTTTATTAAAGGTGGGATCAGATAAAGAATGAGAAAAGGATTTTATAGTTCTTATCGCCAAGAAGATGAAACCAGAAAGTGAATGTCCATTCAGTTTCATTTGTTATTATTATTATTTTTTTTAGAGACGGGGTCTCGCTATGTGGCCCAGGCTGGAGTGTAGTGGCTATTCACAGGCACGATCCCACTACTGACCAGCATGGGAGTTTTGACCTGCTCCGTTTCTGACCTGGGCTGGTTCACCCCTCCTTAGGCAACCTCGTGGTCCCCCACGCCCAGGAGGTCACCATATTGATGCCAAACTTCATTTGTTATTATTATTATTTTTTTAAAGACAGGGTTTCAGCATATTGGTCAGGCTGGTCTCAAACTCCTGACCTCAGGTGATCCGCCCTCCTCAGCCTCCCAAAGTGCTGGGGTTACAAACATGAGCCACGGTGCCCGGCACTTCATTTGTTATTTTTAGGAGTGTTGGCCTAAAGAAAGAAACTGAGCCAAAATTAACATAGACAGTTTATTTGGCCTAAAGTTGAGGACTGCAGCCCAGAAAATACTTCTAAGTTACCTTGGGAAGTGCTCTGGAGAACAAAGGAGAGATTTTTTTTTTTGTTTTTCTTTTTTTTTGAGACGGAGTTTCGCTCTTGTTACCCAGGCTGGAGTGCAATGGCGCGATCTCGGCTCACCGCAACCTCCGCCTCCTGGGTTCAGGCAATTCTCCTGCTTCAGCCTCCTGAGTAGCTGGGATAGAGGCACACGCCACTATGTCCAACTAATTTTTTGTATTTTTAGTAGAGACGGGGTTTCACCTTGTTGACCAGGATGGTCTCGATCTCTTGACCTCGTGATCCACCCGCCTAGGCCTCCCAAAGTGCTGGGATTACAGGCGTGAGCCACCGCGCCCGGCCGTTGAGATTGGAGCTGTTAAAGAAAAACAACGAACCAGGAGAGGGGGTGATGATAAAAGTTGTTTGTCAGGTATCTTCATTAGTCTATAAAAATAACGTTGTTGCCAGGTTCAGTGGCTTATGCCTGTAAACTCAGCACTTTGGGAGGCGCAGGTGGGTCAATCACCTGAAGTCAGGAGTTCAAGGCCAGCCTGGCCAACATGGTGAAATCCTGTATCTACTAAAATACAAAAAGTTAACTGGAGATGGTAGCATGCGCTTGTAGTCCCAGCTACTTGGGAGGCTGAGGCAGGAGAATTGCTTGAACCTTGGAGGCAGACGTTGCAGTGAGCTGAAATTACGCCGCTGCACTCCAGCTTGGGTGACAGAGCAAGACTCCATTTTTTAAAAAATAATAATAATAACATTGCTAGTAATTGGCTACACATTGTTGAGCCCTTAGGTATAAATTATGGTGTCCAGCATATGGCATTGTTAGGTTAATTTTTAGCTACTAGCGGCATTAGCCAGTCTAGAGGCCACATGACAAACAACTTCAAAATGATTACTTAGCTCAAGAGGGTGAGGGGATATGGGTGGAATATGATTGCAGTCTCACTCCAACACCTGCTGGGTCTAACTTTTGTTTTTTTGTTGTTTTGAGGCAGGGTATTGCTCTGTCACCCAGGCTGGAGTGCAGTGGTGTGATCACTACTAACTTCAGCCTCAATGTCTTGGGCTCAAGTGACTGTCTCACCTCAGCCTCCCAAGGAGCTGGGACCAAAGGTGTGCTCCACCATGCCTGGCTATTTTTTAAGTTTTTTTTTTTTTTTTTTTTTTTTGAGATGAAGTCTTTCTCTTGTTCCCCAGGCTGGAGTGAAATGGCGCAATCTCAGCTCACTACAACCTCTGCCTCCCAGGTTCAAGCCATTCTCCTGCCCCAGCCACCCGAGGAGCTGGGATTATATGTGCCCACCACCACGCCTGGCTAATCTTTGCATTTTTAGTAGAGATGGGGTTTCACTATGTTGGCCAGGCTGGTCTCAAACTCCTGTGCTCAAAAGACCCGCTCACCTCAGCCTCCCAAAGTGCTTAGCATTACAGGCAATCAGACCCAGGCCACCATGCCTGGCCTGGGTCTGATTGTTTAAAGGAGGCTTCCATTCCTAGATTCCAAGTGTCTTTTCTTTCTCACAAGGCAATGTGATCTAGTGGTTACATGACTGGGCTTCGGGTCTAAACTTCAGAGATTTCAATCCCAGCTCCTCCGCTTTCCAGGTGTGCAATCTTGTGCTTCAGTTTCCCCATCTATAAAATAGGCATAATCGTGCCTGCATCATAGAATGGTTATGATGACTAGACAAGCTAACATACAAAAATACTTGAAGTAATACTTAGCAAATGATAACCAGCTGCGCTGGTGGCATTAGCAGTGGTGTCCCAGCACCTGTACTGCAGGAAAACAGCCCTTGAAAGAAAAAAAGCCAGTGTCAATGTCTTTGGGGGAAAATTAGGGAAGAAAAGTGCTGAAAGCTTTGTTTTTTGGAGTGGCCGAGCTTAAGGAAAAACAAGCCCCAAAGGGCAGAGTGTGTGCTGAGAGTCACAAAGGAGAGCAAACCAAGCTGAGCTCTCGAGACCGTAGCGAAAGAGAAATAGGAGAGGCAGGAGGCAGGCCTGGGCTGGGGAAATGACCTTGGGCCAACGGTAGCTCTTTGACAGTGGTTTCTTGCAAACACTGAAGTAGTAAGTTTAAAGAAACACACATTCAGTGTTTTCCTAGTCCAGAAATTGACCAGAGAAAAATGGAAAAAGAGGATCTGTTAGGATATACCCTTCAAAAATGCTGTTTATATGTCAATTTCTGCGTAAGAAAACGGGTACTAGTGCCAGGCGCAGTGGCTCATACCTGTAATCCCAGCACTTTGGGAGGCCGAGGCGGGTGGATCACGAGGCCAAGAGATCGAGACCATCCTGGTCAACATGGTGAAACCCCGTCTCTACTAAAAATACAAAAAATTAGCTGGGCATGGCAGCACATGCCTGTAATTCCAGCTACTTGGGATGCTGAGACAGGAGAATGGCCTGAACCCAGGAGGCAGAGGTTGCAGTGAGCCAAGATCGCACCATTGCACTCCAGCCTGGGTAACAAGAGTGAAACTCCGTCTCAAAAAAAAAAAAAAAGAAACAGGATTTTAAAAGGCCACATAATATTTTATTGAATAAATAATAGCGCCCAGCTGTTTTTTTTTTTTTTTTTTTTAGGCTCGTCAAGTGAAGCAGTGGGAGTGGAGAAGGAACAAAGAAATCTGTAACTGGATGTGATCAATTAGTTGTAAACACCACTGCACTGCGACCAGCCTGACTGTTGGTTTTTAACTGATTAAAAATAAAACTGGGATAGGCGCTGGGGCTCAAGCCTGTAATCTCAGCACTTTCACAGGCCAAGGTAGGAGGATCACTTGAGCCCTTGAGTTCGAGAGATCAGCCCAGGCAACATAGAAAGACTGCCTTTACAACAACAACAAAAAATTTTTCTTTTCTTTTTTTTTTTTGAGACGGAGTTTCGCTCTTGTTAACCAGGCTGGAGTGCAATGGCGCAATCTTGGCTCACGGCATCTTCCGCCTTCCGAGTTCAGGCAATTCTCCTGCCTCAGCCTCCTGAGTAGCTGGGATTACAGGCACGTGCCACCATGCCCAGCTAATTTTTTGTATTTTTAGTAGAGACGGGGTTTCACGATGTTGACCAGGATGGTCTCGATCGCTTGACCTCGTGATCCACCCGCCTCGGCCTCCCAAAGTGCTGGGATTACAGGCGTGAGCCACCACGCCCGGCCTACAAAAATTTTTTTGAAAAATTAGCTGGGTGTGGTGGTGTGCACTGCACCCCTAACTACCCAGAAGGCTGGGGTTGGAGGATTGCTTCAGCCCCGAAGGCGGAGGTTGCAATGAGCTGAGATCATGCCACTGTACTCTAGCCTGGGCAACAGAGAGAGACCTTGTGTCGAAAAACAATAAACAAAAACAAATTTCGGTGAATCCTGTGATATATTTAAATTGCCTTCCAGAAGAGCTGGTACACATGTGTACATCTCTTCCCAAATCTGCATACAGTGATTTCGTGTTGGTAACATGAAATTGGCCATAGTGGGGATATTTTACACCACAGAAATTGGAAAACACTCCGAATCAGCCTGTTTTCTTCCAGCCTGCTGTTTACTAAACCTTTACCAGTACACACTAGAGAAATTTACCAATTTTACTTCCATCAATAGTGTTTAAGCACTTTATCACTGGATACGACCATTGGCAGTACTGATAGCTGTCACTCTGATACCTGAAAATAGTATCTCATTTTGTTTTAATTTTTGCTTACTTTTTATGAAGTTGACATTTCTGTTTTTTAGAGCATACAATGTCTGTATATCTTCAAATTATGGTTTCATGTATAATTTATGTATAATTTCCTGTTTATCATCTAACCTAATATATACTAATCTCCAATGAGCAACATGCATAGTAAAAACATTGCTGGGCAGGGAGCGGTGGCTCACGCCTGTAATCCCACCACTTGGGAGGCCGAGGCAGGTGGACCACCAGGTCAAAAGATTGAGACCATCCTGGCCAACGTGATGAAACCGAATCTCTACTAAAAAAAAAAAAATACAAAGATTAGCTGGGTGTGGTAGTGCGTGCCTATAGTCCCAGCCACTCAGGAGGCTGAGGCAGGAGAATTGCTTGAACTCAGGAGGCCGAGGTTGTGGTGAGCCAAGATTGCACCACTGCACTCCAGCCTGGTGCCTGGCGACAGAGTAAGACGCTGTCTTAAAAAAAAAAAATTGCTGGATTTATAAAGTACAAGGGAGAAAATCTTAAATGAGGGATGATTCCAGCAATTACACTCACCTTTGTTTGTTTCTTTCTTTTTTATTGTACTTTAGGTTCTGGGGTACATCTGCAGATCATGCAGGATTCTTGCATAGGTACGTACATGACAAGGTGGTTTGCTGCCTCCATCCCCCCATCATCTATATATGGCATTTCTCCCCATGTTATCTCTCCCCAACCTCCCCACCCCTGCCCCCGCTGTCCCTCCCTTAGCCATCCCTCAACAGACCCCAGTGTGTGATGTTCGCCTCCCTGTGCTCATGTGGTCTCATTGTTCAACACCCGCCTAGGAGTGAGAACATGCAGTATTTGGTTTTCTGTTCTTGTGTCAGTTTGCTGAAAATGACAGTTTCCAGATTCATCCATGTCCCTATGAAGGACATGAACCCATCGTTTTTTATGGCTGCATAGTATTCCATGGTGTGTATGTGCCCCATTTTCCTTATTCAGTCTGTCATTGATGGGCATTTGGGTTGGTTCCAGGTCTTTGTTATTGTAAACAGTGCCTCCGTGAACATATGTGTGCATGTGTCTTTATAATAGAACGATTTATAAACCTTTGGGTATATACCCAATAATGAGATTGCTGAGTCAAATGGAATTTGTATTTCTAGGTCCTTGAGGAATTGCCACACTGTCTTCCACAATGGTTGAACTAATTTACACTCCCACCAACAGAATTACACTAATCTTTACCCAAGCGAAGAAGAGAAACTGTGCAGGTGACAACAGATGCCCTCGGGCAACTATATAGAACTCAAGGAGGGACAATTTATGCCAATATGGGCGTATACAGTTTCTATTTTATTTTTTCTACTGGACACAAGCATCAGAACCTCAGAAACAGTATTAACTGCATGGGAAAAAAATCATCTAAAAAATCTACTTTAGAAGTATTGCCTGGAAAAAAAAATGTGAGGTCTTATTTCTCCATTAATTTCAACACTAACTCACAAGCCTAGATATGGATGAAAGGGAGAAGAGGAGGCTTGCACCTGCATTGCCATAGTGAGAAAACACAGGTGGTTACACACAACGTCTCCTGTGACTGAACTGCCTCGAATCTCATTACTGCCCCGGGACCTTGTGCTACTCACACACACATTTTCATTTGTTTTTCCACCCCTTTCCTACTTAACCCATGAGGGAAAGCTTTGGGGAAAGCTAACTTCTACCTCCAGTTCTAGAGCTGGCCCTGTCTAAATCCCAGAGAACGTCCCATTTCCTTGGTCAGCCTTGATTGAGGGAAGTCAGGTGAACTAGGAGGGTCGATCAAGGAAATCTCTGGATTCTTGCTAGAGAATTGGGCTAGATGAAGTCTTTTGCCCTGAGGGAGAAAGTAGGCAGCTGGCCGAACACCAGAAACTACGTATCACCAGCCATAGGGGAGGGAAATGAGACTTAGAAGGCAGTTAACTATGCAGAAAGCCTAACAGGGAGATGACGAAAAACTGTGTCTCTGATGAACTTGTGAGTCATTGGAATAATGGACACTGATGCATATTATACCTTGGATTTTCAGGTACCTGAGCTACCAGTTTCTGTGATGGCTAATTTTATGTGTCCACTTGACTGGTCCATGGGGTCAGATGTTTGGTTAAACATTGTGGGTGTGTTTGTGAGGGGACTTCCGTTTGAGTTGGTGGACTGAGTAAAGCAAACAGTCCTCCCAATGCGGAGAGGACTTATCCTATGTATCGGAGGCCTGAGTAGGAAAACAAAGGGGAGTAAGACAGAGTAATCTCTCTGCCCAACTGTCTTTGGGCTGGGACATTATGCTTCCACCTCCGGGGTTGGGCTCAGACTGGAGATTTTACAATTGGCTCTCCTGGTTTTCAGGTTCTCAGGCTCAGACTTGGATATATACATTCCAGACTCCTATATATAAACTCCTATTAGTTCTGTTTCTCTGGAGAACCCAGACTCACAGAATTCCCTTTGTTATTTAAGCAAAATGTGCAAGAGGAAAGAACTGACCACAGCTCTATCTAAATTTTCTTGCTCTCCATTTAGTTTTGAGCTTCTTTCAGGCTTGTAACACAGTGGTCAAACTTTAAAATATAAAACAATCATGTCACTTTCCTGCTCTTAACCCTCCAGTGGCCTCTGTCACACATTTATAACAATAATAACAAAAATTCCAGTGCCCATCCTTGTCCTGTGGTCTGGGCCCTGCTGCTTCCATCCCCTGCCCTTAGTGTGCTCTAGACACGAAAGTGCTGGCTCAGGCTATTGACCTTGCTATTCTGTCTGCCTGAAATGCCTTTTCCCAGGATCTGCACATTCAACTTTCTTTTGTTTTTCCTTTTTTTTTTTTTTTTTTTTTTTGAGACAGAGTCTCACTGTGTCATCCAGGTTGTAGTGCAGTGGCCCGATCTAGGCTCACTCCAACCTCCACCTTCCAGGTTCAAGCCATTCTCCTGCCTCAGCCTCCAGAGTACCTGGGAATATAGGAGCATTTTTGTATTTTTAGTAGAGACGGGATTTCACTATATTGGCCAGACTGGTTTTGAACTCCTGACCTCATGATCGACATGCCTTGGTCTCCCAAAGTGCTGGGATTACAGGCTTGAGCCACCATGCCCCGCCCCATTCAAGTTTCTTTCTTTTTCTTTTTCTCTTTCTCTTTCTTTCCTTCCTTCTTTCTTTCTTCCTTTCTTTCTTTCTTTCTTTCTTTCTTTCTTTCTTTCTTTCTTTCTTTCTTTCGTTCTTTTCTCTCTCTCTCTCTCTCTCTTTCTCTTTTTATATATTTTTTTTGAGACGGAGTTTCGCTCTTGTTACCCAGGCTGGAGTGCAATGGCGCGATCTCGGCTCACCGCAACCTCCGCCTCCTGGGTTCAGGCAATTCTCCTGCCTCAGCCTCCGGAGTAGCTGGGATTACAGGCACGCGCCACCATGCCCAGCTAATTTTTTGTATTTTTAGGAGAGATGGGGTTTCACCATGTTGACCAGGATGGTCTCGATCTCTTGACCTCGTGATCCACCCGCCTCAGCCTCCCAAAGTGCTGGGATTATAGGCGTGAGCCACCACGCCCGGCCGATACTGATTAAACATCTCTTCCAAAAGTGTGAAATTCAAAATGCTACAAAAATAAAAATTAAAAAAGAAATTCAAAATGCTCCAAGAAGCATTTCTATTGAGCATCATGTCAGCACTCAAAAAGTTTGATTTTGGAGTATTTTGGATTTTGTATTTTTGGATTTGGGAAGCTCAAACTGTAACAGAAACTTCTTTCTCAACAGCCCTCTGTCATAGCACCAGTTGAAATTGCATGGAGATGAGTACAGAGAATCAACATTAAGTTAGGAAAGAAACCAACTTAGGAGACTGACAAGGAGCAAGAACCAAGGTAGGAGAAAAGCAAAGAGACGGTGGGCCCTTGAAAGTAATGGGAGCAAAGCCCTCCAGTGAGGAGGTACATTAATGCTATGTATTACTGTTATTCTCGTCTAATAGTATGGAATATTAAACACATTTAATAAAGAGATCTTCCAAACAGGTTTTGTACAATACCTGTTTTTGAACAGCAACGTGGCTGTTCACCTGGGTCTGGTGGGCTGAAGCTGAGAAGGGCATCAGCGAAGGGTGGTGGGATAGCGGTTGGCCTCATAGGTTTAGGGTGGGCAGTGGTACAGTGTAAGATCAGTTACAGTGGTGGGGGTAGGAGCAAGGAATATACATTGCCATAAGTTCAGTTACAACGGCGGGTGGGGTAAGGGGTAAGAGTAGTCAAGATGGTAGGGTGGGGTGGAGGGATATTCACAGGGCAAGAACAGTCAAGATGGCAGGGTGGGGTGAGGAATATTTACATTATTATAAGAACAGTTGAGATGGCAGGGTGGGGAGAGAAGTTTAATGTCAGGGAAAGCTCCACTGCGCTGGGATAATGGCGATCGTGATGGGAGAGGGGTAGGGGAAGTGGGGAGGGAGAGGGGTGGGGAGGGAAGAGTGGGGGAGGGGAAAAAAGAAGTCCAATTATTATTATTACTTTTGGAGGCAGGGTTTTGCTGTTATCCAAGCTGGAGTGCAGTGATGTAGTTAGAGTTCACTGTAGCCTCAAACTCCTGGACTCAACCTATCCTCTCACCTCAGCTTTCCATGTAGCTGGGACTACAGGCACACACCACCATGTCTGGCTAATTTTTTTTTTGAGACAGAGTTTTGCTCTGTCACCCGGCCTGGAGTGCAGTGAGGCGATTTTGGTTCAGTGCAACCTCTGCCTCCCGGGTTCAAGCAATTTTCCTGCGTCAGCCTCCCCCATAGCTGGGATTACAGGCACATGCCACCACACCCTGCTAATTTATTGTATTTTTAGCAGAAACGTGGTTTCACCATGTTAGCCAGACTGGTCTGGAACTCCTGACCACAGGTGATCCAACTGCCTAAGCCTCCCAAATTGCTGGGATTACAGGCGAGAGCCAACGCACCAGGCCGACACCTGACACTAATTTTTTGGTAAAGATAAAGTCTCACTATGTTGCCCAGGCTGGTCTTGAACTCCTGCTTCAAGCCATCCTCCTGCCTTAGCCTCCCAAAATGCTGGGATTATAGGCGTATGCCACCACACCTAGCCTGGAAGTCCAATTGGAATAAACTATAGAAATTCCAGCTACTTGGGAGGCTGAGGAAGTGAAGAGGGAGACCCAGGCATCTCAGATCAACTTCCCCTTTTCATTCCTAAGACTGTAAACTTCCCCTTTTCATTCCTAACACTGTAAACTGAAATTCTTTTCATATGTAATTCCTAAGACTGTAAACTGAAACCCTTTTCATATGTAATTCCTAAGACTGTAAACTGAAACCCTTTTCATATGTAATTCCTAAGACTGTAAACTGAGACCCTTTTCATATGTTAAGCTATAAACCTAAGATTCTTCCATGTGTAACATCTAAAATATAAGCCTATATAAAGAAGGAACCTTCCTTTGTTAGGGGAGCTTGGCTGTTAGGCAACTATGCCACCTTGCTCCCGGCCGAATAAACTCCTTCCTCCTGTATTCGGTGTCCAAGAGATCCATTTCCCATGGCCACTCCTGCTGCAGAAGGAGAATCGTTGAATCTCTGCGGTGAGCCGAGATTGTGCCATTGCACTCCAGCCTGGGCAACAAGAGTGAAACCGCGTCTCAAAAAAAAAAAAAAAGAAAAAAAAGGAAAGGAAAAGAAAAGAAAACAAGGTGAGAAAATGGAGCAGCATATGTAGGCAGATGTTCCAAGAAGTTCCTCTGTGAATGGGGAGTTGGAGGGAGATGTAGGAAAAAGGGAAAGTTTTTTGAAAACTACATTTATATTCAAATGTAAATTGTAAGGTCTGACCGTGCCTTGAAAGGCATGGTAATCTCTGTGACTTGCACGTACAGCACAGCCTGAATTGAGTTCCTGGAAGAAATAATTAACCCCTGCGGTGCTTAACTAACTTGAGACATTCTTCTGTTGTTTCTTTTTCCCACCTCAATAGAGGGACTTTGTGCCCAAGCTTGGCCAACCTCGTGACTCCACACCCTAAGACTCCCTCCCAGCTTGCAAACCTACGACCCTCTCCCAGCTTACAAAAAAACGCCCTAAACTGTAACTCCTGTAACTTTTCTTTCTTTTTTTTTTTAAGATGTGGTTTCACCATGTTGGTCAGGCTGGTCTTGAACTCCCAACCTCAGGTGATCCACCCGCCATGGCCTCCAAAGTGCTTGGATTACAGGCGTGAGCCACCACCCTCAGCAACTCCTGTAACTTTTCATTGCCTTCCCCACAACCTATAAAACCAACTCCTATCCCACCCCATTTCACTGACTCCATTTTCGGCCTCAGCCCAGCCGCACCCTGGTAAATAAACAGCCACATTGCTCACACAAAGCCTGCTTGGGAGTCTCTTCATTCAGAGTGCGTGTTTTAATAGAAGTGATTCAATAGTGAGGGAATTAGACAAAGCAAGAGAGAGAAAGAAAGGAGAAAGGGTCATTGCAAAGGCTAAATTGTAGGGAAGAAAGGAAAAGTTGGCTTTTGTTGGGAGCAAATATACCTTAAAATAGCAGAAATGAAGACAAAGCATAAAAGAGCAGATGCTAGTAGGGTGGGTGCTTTGATGAGGGGAGGCTGAGGGAGCTCCGGTTTCAGTTCTCTCTTTTGTTTTTTCTTTTTTTTTTTTTTAAACCGAGTCTGGCTCTGTCGCCAGGCTGGAGTGCAGTAGCGAGATCTAAGTGATTTTCCTGCCTCAGCCTCCTGAGTAGCTGGGACTACAGGCATCCACCAATACACCTGGCTAATTTTTGTATTTTTAGTAGAGATGGGGTTTTACCATGTTGGCCAGGATGGTCTTGATCTCTTGACCTCATGATCCACCAGCCTCAGCCTCCCAACGTGCTGGGATTACAGGTGTGAACCACCATGCCCAGCCTCCAGTTCTCTCTTAATTCTCCACAAACACAAACTGTTATATAGCAGAAGTTTGTCTCTTTTCAGCTATTGTTCAAGATAATCCTTTTGACTGTCTTTCTTCCCTTCTTTTGCTAAAGATAGACAAAGTCAGACACTAGTTCAAATGGTAAGGACAGATTTTAATCAGTAATACATTACTGCAATAGGAGACAGGAGCCAGCATGAACTGAATTCAACTTTTGATTTGTGCAAAGGTGGATGAACATTTTTGAAGGGAAAATGGGGGAGCACGGAGGGGGAAATCAGGTGCTGAATAGAGTAAGGGAAGTAAAAAACTGGAAAGGGTTGGTCAGTGTAAATGTGATTAGGTCAGCTGTGTCTGCTAGCTGGCCAATATTGAAGTTGAGATTCTGTTTTCTCACAGAGCCTGAAAGACAAGGGCATATACTTCCTGATGATTACATTTCAAAGGAATGGATTTCAGGTCCTTCAGAATGACACTGAGTTGAGTTGTAGGAGACACATATACACCTTAAAGGGACAGAGGAGTGATTCACAATTTAAGTCCTTCTTGTTAAATGTTCTAAGAAAGGGTGTTCAGGGGCCTTTGTCAGGTATTGGCTGGAACAAATAGTAAGTTCTTTTTTTTTTTTTTTTTTTGAGATGGAATCTTGCTCTGTTGACCAGGCTGGAGTGCAATGGCACAGTCTTGGCTCATTGCAACCTCTGCCTCTCGAAATCAAGTGATTCACCTGCCTCAGCCTCCCTGACAGCTGGGATTACAGGTGCCCACGACCATGCCTGGCTAATTTTTTGTATTTTTAGTAGAGATGGGTTTTCACCATGTTGGCCAGGGTGGTCTCGAACTTCGGCCTCCCAAAGTGCTGGGATTACAGGCTTGACCCACTGCGCTGGGCACAAATAGTAAATTCTTTTGATTACCTTGAGCTTTTTCAGACAGGTAGGTTAAGGGGTGCTGGGTTATCCTAGGAATGTGGTCTTGAACTGTTAGAAACTATGGCTGTTTGTTTAAGCCTTTTAATGTAGGGGTTGGGGAGTGTACTAAATTATTGTGCTGGGTGTCTGGTTTTTATAGATCAAGGTTGAGGCCTAGTCGAGAAGTGGGCTCAGAATAATTTAGCTGGAGTTGGGTTAAGGAGAGATTCTTTAACACTCTTTACCTATCAGCTCACATCTAATTCTTCCTCTAATGTTTGACTTCAAGGAGATAACTACATTTTGAGTTTTTGTTGTTGTTTTCCTTATTCCAGCCAAATATAATCTCTGTCTTCGAACTCACAGACCTTTTGTAGTACTGCTCATAAAGAAATGTGTCATGTTGTAACTCTTGGCAAATTTTACTGTCTTATTTCCTTGTGTACCTGTTCATGTATTTATTTCTTGGCTACCAGACAGCATCACGAATTCCTCCAGGAATGTTGAGCTAATATGTTATAGGTTCTGCGCAGGACTTGGACACATGGAAGGGACTCAGTCACAGTCACAGGGTACCCAGGCACCTTCATTTATTCCCCAAATTATTTTTATTTTGTTTATTTTGTTTTTTTTTTAAAAAAAGACGGGGTTTCACCATGTTGGTCAGGCTGGTCTTGAACTCCAGACCTCAGGTGATCCGCCCACCTTGGCCTCCAAAGTGCTTGGATTACAGGTGTGAGCCACCACGCCCAGCCTTTATTCCCCAAATTTTTAATGGGTGTCCTCACTATACATAGCATTTTGTCCAGTGCTGCTAGGGGTCAAATTAAAAAGACGCAGCTGCAGTTTTTATTTTTGGTTTCCCTTCTTTCCCCTCAGAGCCCTGCGACTTACTAGAGAGAGCTGAGACGTACATTTACCTTGAAACTTTTAAAAACTGAAACATGCAAAACCTGAACCTTCTGAGAGTATGAGAAATGTTTCCACAAACATACAATTTACAGGTTTGGATCTTTTTGTGGATCGTAAGTGTGATGATTGGGTGTTCATGTGCAGCTGTCAGATATGCCACCCTTGAACCTTGTTACAACGTTGGCACACTAGCTGTTTAAGGTGAAAAAGAAATGTAGAGGATTTCTATTCAAGAATCCCTCAAAGGTAAATAATCAGAGGCTCATTCTCAGCATATACTAATAAGTTATAACCACATTGAGATGTCACTCACACCCACTAGGATAGCTCTAAACAAAAGTCTGGTAAATAACAAATACTGGCAAAGATGTAGAGAAACTGGAACACTTCTGTTCTGCTAGTGAGCGTGTTAAATGATACAGCCACTTTGGGGAACAGTCTGGCAGTTTTTCAAACATTTAGACTTGGAGTTACCACATGACCCAGTGTTCTGTGGTGGGCAGGCCTATACAAATGTATCTCAAAGTCCCAGGATGCTGGGAGGCGAAGAAAGAGGCTGACAAACACAGTTCCTTAGGAAGAAACATTTAATAATGACGTATGAACGGAAGCCATGTCTTTGTCTTGGGCAGCAAGATGAGATGGTGGATTTCTGTGCCATTCACCCCTAGAGTCAGTGCTTTTTTTAAAAAAAAGACAGGGTCTCTCTCTCTGTATTACCTAGGCTGGGGTGCAATCATGGCTCAGAGAAGGCTCAAATTCCTGTACTCAAGTGATCCTCCTGACTCAGCCTCTCCAATAGCTGGGACTATAGGTGTGTGCCACTGCACCCAGCTAATTTTTATTTTTTATTTTTTGTAGAGACCGGGTCTTGCTTTGTTGCCAGGGCTGGTCTCGAACTCCTGGCTTCAAGCAATCCTTCAGCCTCAACCTCCCAAAGCATTGGGATTATAGGTGTGAGCCACCACTCCAGCCCCGTAGGGCTTATATACCATAGGAGAGGGATGGCTCAGAAGGATGTGTAGGACAATTGACGTATAATTACATTAAGGTTGTTTGAACTAAGGACAGGACAACCTGGGTAGGCACCTGCTCTTACACAAGGAAAATAGATAAGTAGAAATCTTAGAGGCCTTCCCAGAACAGGGGTTAATCAGAAGCCAACATGGAGGATTAGCTTCCAAGATGGAGCTGTTTTAGCCTCCGCATCCAGCAATTCCACTCTCAGATTCCAATTCCACTCAACAGAAATGGAAACATATGTCCATAAAAAAACTGTACATGACTGTTACAGCAGCCTTATTCACAATAGTCAACATGTGGAAACAACTGAAATGTCCCTCAGCTGATGAATGGATAAACGAAATGTAGTATATACTCCAGCAATCTAAAGGAACGAGGTACTGTACTGATACACGCTACAACATAGATGAACTTTGAAAGCATTATGCTAAAGGACAGAAACCAGACACGAAGGCCACATATTGCATGGCTGCATTTATATTGAATGTCCAGAATAGGCAAACCCATAGAGACAGAAAATTGGTTATTGTTTGCTAGGGCTGGGGTTTGGAGAGTAGAGTTAGGAAGACTGATAGCTAGAGGGTATGGGTTTCTTTCACATGTGATGAAAATGTTCTCAAATTGTGGTGACTGTTGAACAACAATATACTAAATATACTAAAAAATATACTGGAAATATACTAAAAATCACTGAATGGTACACTTTAAATGGTTGACTTCTTTGGTGTGTAAGTTATAACCCAATAAAGCTGTTATTAAAAAAAAAAATGAGGCCAGGTGTGGTGGCTCATGCCTGTAATCCAAGCACTTTGGAGGCCAAGGTGGGCGGATCACCTGAGGTCGGGAGTTCAAGACCAGCCTGACCAACATGGTGAAACCCCGTCTTATTTTTAAAATAAATAAATAAATAAATACAAATTAAAAAAAAAAAGAGACCAATTATTTCAACAATCATGAGACTGTGTTAAAGATTCTTTGCTTGGTCAAACTTCAGGCCAGGCTTCTGGATCTTCTCCCAGGTCCTTGTGTGCACTTCCTTGTACAGGCAGTATTAAGAAGTAACATCACCACACGGCAGTTTAGCAAGAATCCCACACCCTCCATAGGTGATCAAAATTCTTCACTTCCTACCTTCGTATCTGAACCCCCTGGTCTGCCTTCAGTGGGACTCCTGTTAGGTTGGTTCAGCCAGAATTCCCCCTAATTGATGTTTCCTCTTAGCAATTTTCAGAACACCTTCTCCTTGCTCCTTGGTTATAAAATCCCACTTATTCCTGGTGTATTTGGAATAGTTAGATCCAGTTGTCTTCACCTCTTTAACTGCTGTCATTTCTTTTTTCACAGTTGAGGACCCAAAACGTTGTCATTTCAAGTCCTTGTGGCCAACAGATTGGTGGTTTATGGGCCAGCACCCTTTTTATGCGTAAAATACTTAAAACGCATCCTGCAATGATGGTAAAGTGCTGAAACGTTTAGTATGTGAGGACGGATCCTAGTCTGGCTGCTAGACCTGGCGATCCCCTGAGGCCGCCTGAGTTTGGGCCTCCTCGTGTCGCCGCGCGCCCCTCCTCCGGCCCTGAGTCACGGCGCCGCCAGAGTCCCCACGCCAGGATGCTGCGGTGAGCGCGGCGGGGACGCCGCGGGGCCCCGGGTCGCAGCGTCGGGCTCTCGGCCGCCCAGCGGCGCCGTAGGGGAAGCCAGGCCCGCAGCCGCGCGCTCCCCAGCCGCCTACGGAGTCCGCCCTCCCCGGCTCTTCCTGACCTCCTCGGCGGGCGGCGGCGGGGCCTGCCTGTGCGCTCCGCGCCTGCTCGCGCCTGCTCTCCATGGCGTTTATCCGGAAGAAGCAGCAGGAGCAGCAGCTGCAGCTGTACTCCAAGGAGAGGTGCGCGCCCACCCGAGGGAGGGCCCTGCCGGGGGCCTGGCCCGGGCCGGTAGTGGGGACGCCGGCCGGAGATGAGAGGGATGGGAGGCGGCGTGGGGGCCGGGCACAGAGGCAGGGGCCGGGAGCTGTGGTGGAAGCCTGAGGTCTGGGTGAGAGGCCGGGGGCCTGGTCCGGGCCGGAGCCCGCCTGGGACGGGAACCGGATGACCGGCCAGTCCAGATCCCGCTGCGGAGCCGAGCCACGTGGAGCCGGCCGGCAGTGCAGGTCCCGGCGGCCACGGCCAGCTCACCCGGAAGGCCACGCGGGGTCGGGGCGCGGATCCCTACCCGGGCGCCGGGCGTTCGCAGGGGAGGGTGAGTAGGCGGCCCGGCGGGCACCCCCTTTCTAATCCTTCCCCTTAATCGGGTCCCGGCACTTGGCGCCCGCGCCGCAGAGTTGGTCACCCGGCGGCACCTAGCTGGCCGGCGACCACCCCACTCGCATCGCCGCGCCTTTGGACACAGGACTAGCCGGCTGCCCTGCAGGGCTTGGGGGAGGGCTGCCAGAAAGGCCTGATTCTGAGGAAAGCCCCCCAGACAGTTGCTCCCCGAGCAGTGGACCTTGTAAGGGTGTTGGAAAGCTTCGCAGTCGAAATTCCGCGCGGCAGCATCCCATTAAGGATTTGGGATCTCCCGGGCTAAAATGGTCTCACAGCAGTTTCTTTTTAGAGTTTCTGGACCTGTCCCCGAGGGAAGTCTCATAAGAAAGCTCACTTCGGCTCTATGTGTACCTCCAGCGAATTTTTAGTGACGGAAACAACTTGCTGGGTCTGCAGCTCAGATGCCAAAAGGAAAGGGAGCTGTATTATTTCACAAACACACTGTTTTGACTGTGAGAGCTACAGATCTCCCAGTGCTGCTGGCGTGTCACGTTGTCTCATCAACGAATACCAGCAAAGCGGGTTACACGTGGGGAATACAAGTGCAGGCTTCAAGATTTGCCTCCCCTTGTTTTATAAGCGTTCACTCGACACCTTTCATCCAGAAATTTCATCCTTCCCTAATCTGTAATGTTGGTCAATGTATCTACAGTCTGAAATGTCATTTTCCTGCTGTAGAGGAGAAGATTAGATATACTGAAAACATATCTCAGATATGGCTTCCAAAAATGTTTTTGGTGATATGATTAGGTTTTAGTCACAGAATGTCTTGTTTATTAAATAACTGAGCCCTAACTATATACTCATCTTTGGAGATGCCCTTCTGACTGCATTTGTAATGCCTTTTTCTTGCGGAAAGAGCTTGAGTGGCGTTTGTGTAGTACCAACAATATTAAGGCTTGGTGGCGCTCTGTATTAAGTGGGTGAACATTCAGATTTAAATTGTGAGAACTTTGAAACACTTCAATTGCCATCAAGTTTTATGATATGAGTCATTTGTGCCAATACTGAGGCCTCTGTGATATACAGGGAAACGTGTTTTCCTTGGTTCTGGCTGTTATTTTGTTGGAAATAATTTGCGTTCAGTTTGGCTAGCTCATACAGCTCTGTAGTGTCACACAAACTTGAAACCTCTACTTATATTTCCATGTGTATGCTGCTTTGATAGAATTCATTGATTAGACGACAACGTGATAGGCTGGCAGTGTTCAGAGGGAACTCTAGCTCTCACAACCAAAACATTGATCTATTCATCAACTGTTCCTGAGCATCAGTCATCTGAAAAGGTTGGCGCCACGTGTTTTATATTTATTGAATTCTGACTTGCTGAGTGCCCAAATTGTTTAGTGTTCTGCCCCAGGGCTTTGCAACTCTGAATGACAGGATTCTGTCTCACAATCAGGTGATAGAATTCTGGCTCACCGTGGTGCACTATAATCAAGGAGACACTTCATCAATAATCTTAGAATTCATTCTGAAACAGAAGAATATTTTAAAACAACTTTATTGAGCCGCAAATTTACCATTTCTGCCCAGATTTTTTCCCAGTTTGTCCCTTGCATCAATAAACACAAATTAGCAAATGGATTGTATTGGTCATTGGCTCCAGCATACCTAAGAAAATTGTTACTTTCCTTGGAAAATAACAAGAGGGATTGTTTCAGAGGTTACTTACTCATGAGGGGCCTTGACCTGTTCATTGTAAGTTTACTGGCGACTCTCATGCTGATTTAGGGATTTTAGATTTCCAGAACTAATTTCCAGAAATTAGCATTTATTTCTCTTATTTTTAAGTTGATATACTGTGTTTAAAGTGAGTGATATTTTAATTTGCGGTAGCTTTGAAATAAAAAAATTTTTTAAAGTGAGTGATATTTCTGCAAAAGCAGAAGCAGAAAGACTGACTAGGAGATTCTTGCAGTGGTGATTTAGACCAAGGTAGTGGCAGAAGAGATGAGGAAAGTGGATGGATTCTAGAAGTTTTTAGGAAGTGTGATTGACAGGTCTTGGTGGGGTGTCTTGTATGTGAGAGGTGATAGAGCAAGAATACCAGCTAGGATTATCAGATAAAATACAGGATACCCAGTTAAGTTAGAATTTCAGATAAACTGAATAATTTTTTAGTATAAGTAAATGCAATAATATATGCAATATTTAGTGTATACTTATACTAATTTTTTTTTTAGTATAAGTAAATGCAATAGTATAGGCAATTTGGGATATACTTATGCTAAAAATTTAAAAGTATATTATTTATCTGAAATTCAAATATAACTGGGCATATGATATTTTTATTTGCTAAACATAGAAATTCTACTCTCAGACTTCTGGTTCAAATAACTATAAAGTGGTACCATTTATTGATGATGTTTATAAATAAATGCTTTGGTAATTTTAAGGATTAGAAAACAAATAGACACTTGACCATTGAAATTAAGCATACTTATATCCTGGTTAAAATTGAAAACACTTTTTAAAGGCAATTTACATATCTTCCTTGGATTTGTCAGGGACGGCAGGTATATGCAGTGGGCTAGAAGATGAGGATATTCTACAAACTGTTGCTATTTAAGACATTTTTATTTTAATGTAAAATATATTAAAAGGTGGGAAGATCGCTTGAGCCCAGGAGTCCAAGGTTGCAGTGATCACACCACTGCACTCCAGCCTGGATGCTATTGAAAAAAAAAAAAAGATATTTCTATTTATGATTTAGAAGTAGATTAAAGTAGGTTAATTGTTAAGAATTTTTGGCTGGGCGGTGGCTCATGCCTGTAATCCCAGCACTTTGGGAGGCCGAGGTGCGTGGATCACGAGGTCAAGAGATCAAGACCATCCTGGCCAACATGGTGAAACCCTGTCTCTACTAAAAATACAAAAAATTATCTGGGCGTAGTGGCACATGCCTGTAATCCCAGCTACTTGGGAGGCTGAGACAGGAGAATCACTTGAACACAGGAGGCGGAGGTTGCGGTGAGCCAAGAATGTGCCATTGCACTCCAGCCTGGGCAACGAGAGAAACTCCGTCTCAAAAAAAAAAAAAAAAAAGAATTTTTTTTTTTTTTTTAACATCCATTGTGGAGTGTTGGGATGACAGCTGTTTCTTAGGTAATGTAGAAATTTAGATAGTAGCCCAGGTGCTGTGGCTTCACTTGTAATCCCAGCACTTTGGGAGGCCAAGGCCTGAGGATCGTTTCAACTCAGGAGTTTGAGACCAGCCTGGGCCACACAGGGAGACCTTGTCTCTATTTAAAAAATAAATAGGCTGGGAGTAGTGCTTCATGCCTGTAATCCCAGCACTTTGGGAGGCCCAGGGGGCCTTGAGGTAAGGAGTTTGAGACCAGTCTGGCCAACATGATGAAACCTCATCTGTACTAAAAATTTAAAAATTGGCCGGACGCGGTGGCTCACGCCTGTAATCTCAGCACTTTGGGAGGCCGAGGCAGGCGGATCACCTGAGGTCAGGAGTTCAAGACCAGCCTGGCCAACACGGTGAAACCCTGTCTTTTAAAAAAAATAAATGAATAAAATAAAATAAAAAGCCGGGCATGGTGGCACACACCTGTAATCCCAGCTACTCGGGAGGCTGAGACAGGAGAATCGTTTGAACTTGGGAGGAGGTTGCAGTGAGCCAAGATTGTGCCATTGCACTGCAGCCTGGTCAACAGAGCAAGACTTTGTCTCAAAAATAAATACATACATACATAATAAAAAAAGAAATTTAGATAGTTGAGATATGTTTCCTTCTGAGGAAGAGTCATAGTTTTATCTCTAATGTCAGAATAAATTCTTATTGTGGTTTGCAAGCTGCCGCTCGAGGACGGAAATCAGTGATCCTGAATTCCATATTGGGTGCCTACATAATGTAATAACATTACTAGTTGAGCAGGCACTTGGAGGTTCAACTTGGTTTCGGACATTCCATGAGTGTATAATACTCTTGGTTATGCTGATAGTAAATTTATTCAGTATGTTTGATCAATTTGAGTCTATATTTTTTATATTAAAAGCACTTGTTGAGAGGGCAAAGTGATTGTTATACTTTAATCTTTCATTTCTTTTTCTTTTCTTTTCTTTTTTTTTGAGACAGAGACTTGCTCTGTTGCCAGGCGCCAGGATGGAGTGCAGTGACACAATCTCGGCTCACTGCAACCTCCACCTCCTGGGTTCAAGCAATTCTCCTGCCTCAGCCTCCCGAGTAGCTGGGACTACAGGAGCATGCTACCACACCCAGCTAATTTTTGTATTTTTAGTAGAGACGGGGTTTCACCATGTTGGCCAGGATGGTCTTGATCTCTTGACCTGGTAATGTACCCGCCTCGGCCTCCCAAAACGCTGGGATTAGAGGCTTGAGCCACTGCACCCGGCCTAATCTTTCATTTCTAAGGTTTATAATCCCAGTCTTTTCAGATCTGTTTGTGGGATATACCAGGTGTTGAAGATGGAGATCAGTGGAGATAAAGTCAGGAATGTCCACAGGTCCCAAGAAATCTACCTGTTACTTAAAGAAATGGGGTTTATTTTTCTCACATAAAACACAGTGAGAGAGAAAATAAATGTTACATTACTTGGTTAATTTAGG